CCTGTGGTTCAGACGTCTAACGCTCTAGCCACTGAGCCACGAGTACGTTATCTTGCTGGTTTAGGTCGGCAGATATTGACACTTGTTGTCGAACGCTCATCGATCGCTAACGGAGTTCACTTGTCCCGCTCTCTGCCTTAGGGCTCATCCTCGAGCCTCGCCAGTAGCCGCAGTCAGCGGTTAGTGCTTGTAGCCGACGCCCACCATTGCTTTCTCCGACGTCCTCGTTCAAGGCCAGCTGCCTCAAGGTCATCCACTATCTCAATCAGCGCTTTCAGACGTGCTGACTTGTAAACAGTTGACCGACTTCCACACACGTGCGTCCAGGTTGCCGCGGCCGCCTAAGCACCACTTGAACATATTCCTTTCCCTCACCTTCGGTCGACACGACATCCCTCTGACAATGTCACACGCACCAAACGGAGAAAAATTTTACCTACTTGAGCAGCTGTCACCATTGCCTTTCTGAGGCCCGACTGGACGCAGGCAATTCTAGCCGTGGTTTTGCCAGTGGCCACTTCTGTCCGAGACAGCCGCATAGGGTCCTGTGCACAATAAAGTCCTCATTCTGGTGACTCCTGTCTTTAACCGCAAACCTGGGATTCGACCTGATGATTGCAGCGGTCTTAGCACAGCCGCTACTTAGGCCTCTACATACTCTAGGCAGATAGAAAACAACGAGCTCGTGGCTCATTGATTAGTGTTAGATTTCTGATCAAAAAGGTCGCTGGTTCGAGCCTCGAGTGTTGCATCACCTGGTGCTGAGTATATCTAACTGAAGACGGATAATGAGCGTGAAAGATCCATTCCAGTTTCCCTTGTCTTTGCCGGCAATGATATTTAACTTTTAGTTTGGACTAGCGAGACTAGCAAGCAATCATTTTCTCATGCCAGATAGTAGCCTACGTGGCTCCCAGGCTGAAGAGAACTCACAGATAGATCTGCCTGGAGTGCGCATCCACACGCACAATGCGCACACAAAGTATGCCTCCCGTCTGCAAGATGCAGGCACGCAGAACATCGGGCAAATAGGTCAGGTCAAAACCCCCCAAAAAGAGTAGCGTTCCGGGTATGAGATCGACGCAGGTGTAGCGCAGTCCGGCCTTGCGGCCCCAGAAGCAAACGGCCGGTTGTCGATGGAGGAAGGGCAAAGTTCGTGGTCTGTTGAAAAGGAAAAATAAGAGGACTCCGTAAACGATATGAAAGCAGAAATAGTTACGACCCATGAAATGATGTAACCCGTGTGCTGGAACCGTTTCAGGCTCCCGAATTTCGTTAGCAACTGTTCCGCTACCGCTGGTTTCTAATTAAGTATGAAGGGATAGCGACTCACTTCCTGTCAAAGTTCGCTTTGAAATATTCACTTAAAGCTGTGAGTACTTTACCTTGATCATCGATATGACCGTACGAAGGTAAGTATTAGGAGCCACTTTAACCGACTCGCTGGCACGCCACGTTATCGATCCGCCCACATGCAACGCACGTGGTGATGACGTGCAAACCGTCGCCAGAATTAGGACTCTACCACGCCAGTCGGATGAATCAAAAAGCCAGTCGAGCTGCTACATACTTGAGAACACTGTCTGATTGGTTCGATTGCAGGCCGATCTTGTACATGATCATACAAGCCTTGCTCGCCTTTATAAAGTACGCTGTCAACATACAGCAAGACACTTCCATCCTTCCACCCTTGCTGCAGAGGTCCCTTTTGAGGATTCAATCGAGACATTGTTGGACAGCGAACGTTGCGGGTTATGAAGAGGTTATAACAATTATTTACCCAGCGGGAGTAGCTCACTGATTTAATTCTTTGGTTGCATCCTGTGAGGGGGTAGGCATTGAAGAGAAAGGGTGCAAGCTACGGGTTGATTATTACCGTCAATTAGACTGCTTTCGAGCGTTGCTGTTGTTTTTTTTTGACTTTAGTCATCTCTATGTAGAAGCCAGACACTAGAAAACTTAATTGGGACTGACCGACTCGAACCGAATGAGGCACAAATATCCTCCTTCCCGATAAAAGGACTACGCTTTTCCAAAAAGCGTCTGTGGAAGTCCACGCGCGCTCAGTGCCGGAAAGCGGATGGACCATCAGACAATTTTTTCAAACACTCCTTTAACACTGAGCAAGTTTTCGGATTACATTAGATCCGCACATATCCAAAAATATCTATTTGGTTCTGTGGAAAGGGCGGGGCGTCTTTAGGAAAAACTTGAATGCAAATTTGGTGACAAAAATGAATGTCGTAGTACCGGCAGGCAAATCAGTGGCTTTCCGTAGAAAGTAATAGCTCTTTGTCGGCAAAGGCCATAGATGTGAAAGTGAAGCGTCTCAGACTTTCATTTGATATTTTAATTTAAATGCTGGCCGCACTTTTACATCGCTCAAAGCAAGGAAGTGCCCATGAACGGGCATACAGCCTCACTTCTCAATAGTTTGACCTACTAACAGCGCAGGCACTGGCTAAAAACCCAGACAAGTATTTCGCCACATGACGTAGTTGCGAGGGATTCGACTCACCACTTGGTCCCCCAGTGTTCACTTGTGCTTTCTGGTATATACACTCCTGTTCCTATCCTGTTTCGTTCAAGTTCCAATGAAATTAACGGGTGAACTTGACATAAAGCCTTCGGAACAGATCTTTTTAGGCTCGTTCTGAAAGTTGGTATGAATATGTTAGTTAAAATCCATCGGCTACTGTGGACCGAGCCCGAAAACCTTAGTCCTAGCCTGCCCATTAGTTTCTAAGGAAACTAAACAAGGCGAAATCCATCGGTCATGGCCTCACGCTATCCTTCCTCCCTCCACTAGCCACTCTTGTTGACCAGCCAGCGCACGACCTCTCCAGACTCGGTCTGAGAACTGATATGAATTTCCCAGTGGGTTCTCAACGTTCCATGTGTGTTTCGTGACAGATTAAGTGCAGTTTCCAACCTGCCTTGTATAATTTCCAAGGAAACTAATATGCAAACTTGGAGTAGATGCTTTGAAACAATCCTTCTTAGACTCCGTCTCAGCACTGATAGGAATACCCAAGCTGAACTTCATTAGACACTGCGGGATAACCGCTGAATTTAGAAGCTGCCAACAGGCAGGCAATAAAGTAATCGACATTCTCTTCTGCCGCATATAGGCCTCTAGTGCACAGGAAAAGACGTAAACAATACTTTAGGAGGTGTTATGTCATGCTAAAGAACTGTAATGTTTAGCTGAGGTGGCGGCACTGCAGTAGCTGGAGAAAAATTCAGAAAAGTCTAAAAGTTAAACTAAACTTAACTTAAACTAAACTAATAACACCGGTCCTAGGGCTCTAGGCCCTATGGCCCTCTGACTATGTCTATGATGATGAATCAGCGACGAACTGCAAAACATCAGGCGAATAAACATATTGTCCCAGCGATCGAGTCGTCTTCTGCTCCTCAATTACTTCCTAGGACTCGCATGTTCGCTTGTATTAGCAGGATATCGAAACGTCAGGTGGATCCAATTATTGTCTTAGCGATTGATTCATCTTCTTCTCAACACCGGTCCTGTAATACAGGATTTTGGCGCTAGGGGTATATAAGGTGTTAGACCAACTTTATTATCACAGATATCACACTGTCAAAGCGCATTATTATGAACTCGACAACTTACGATCGCAAGGAGCAATGCTCTTCGTACAAGGCTATGGAGTTGTCATCAGGAAAAAAGTAGCCAACAAGAGGGTGAAGACACCATGAACTCAACGTCTTCACTCGAATCTCCTCCGAGTCGGCGGATTTCTTCGTGAAGACAAAATCAGGCAAACAGATTCGAACCGCGAATTCAATGAGTCCTTGGGAGTCCAATCCGGTCTGGGATGGCGGGTAAAGTACTTTATGTTGATACTTTTCTTTGGCAGTAAGTGGTCTAAAACAGAGTCCAGAAGGTAAGAAACAGTTAATTATACAATAAAAAGGCATGACTACCATCACAGTCATGATGATGGTGATAGTTTTCAACTAGAGGACACTACAAGTCAAGAAACGGATGACTCACATGCGGAGCAACTAAAACGAAGAACATTTAGGGGAATAGACGGGAAATGGCTGGTTTATAATTGGTTTATAACGTTTTATACCAGCCCACAAAAATACACCGAATCTAAATGCTTCACAATGACCTTCGATTAAAATTCAAAGGAAATTTACTGTAATGTGTAGACTGAGGGTTTTTCAATTGTGTTGACAACTCACAAGGAGCTGTTCCATTTAGATATATGTTCACGGAGATACTCACTGCTCTCAAGGAAGTTGTCCGAAATGACTGGTCTACGATTACACATGAAGTCAATTTTTTCAACAGTTGAAATCGAGACATCAGTTGATGCAGGCTTCTTGATGGCCTTTTTGATAAAAACATTCAGATATGTCCGAAAACCTGGGACATAAAATACACGCGTGTCCCCGTCCAATCAGGGCACTGTGCTGGCAGGACGGCCACAGTGAAATAATGGTCCACTGTCAGATTGACCATTCTGACAGTTATATCAAGTCTCCTCAGTGGCACTCAACTAAGATTCGCCCTTAGACTACCATCGCTTTTCATTTCGGTTATATTTTATCAGTAACAGCAGTCGACAATGCAGCACTCATTTGCAGCAAACCCGCCCGCATTACTTTCCTTCTACATGAGCATGCCTTCAATCAAAGTTTCGCCGACGAGGCGAAGCTGTTCTGCACCACTCTTCTTTGCTCAATTTCGTGTAAAAAATGGGTGAGATACCGAAAGAGCATCCATTTGATCCTTAATCGTATATCCATTCAGGTAAACATACCTTGCGCCCAACGTCTTTGAACGAGGAAGAACTGACTTGTTAAATAAAGTTTGTGTAGCTTAGTTGGCCGCAGGCAAAAGTCTATCCTTGACGACACTGCACATTGCACAGCACAGTAAGCTAACAGGCCTCACCGCATGTTTCATCACGAGACAGTAATAAGTAGACACGGTCAGAGAGGTAGATGGGAGAGATGAAGCCAATAAGAAAGGTCATAGTTGGGTATATAAATACATGACGCCAAACATACTACACAAGGAAATATGCGTGAATGAGGACGTGCGGGGATGGCAAAAGCTGTTCTGTGGTCAAGATGAGGTGATTTAAGTCAGTTTTAAACATAATTATGCCAGGGGTCCATTGCTGGAATAATTCATATTGAACATGAAGGGTTTTTACTGGTGTCGGTGATTGAAAAACCCTGGAAGTCGATATCCAATATTGGAGGAAAGTGTAGTGCAGTGGCAATTTCTGCATCCTCCTACCTGGTCGTGGACTCATTCACGTGTTATTCCTACACATAAATGCACCTCTAAATAATGGTGGCAATCATCGAAAAAAACGGCCCAAATAGGAACAAAGTTGCACGAAGTGCATGCTCAACTGATTGGTATATCTACACTTGGAAAGACTTACTAACGGAGGGAGTTTATCTCTGTCGAAAACTATCCAGCCCCACACAAGCACGCAGTCGCCTATAGGCAGAGCCACATTGGTTAAGAAATACAGCTTTCAGAAAACTAGTACGTACCTAGAGAGGCCTGAAACAGGCTTTTTTGGTGCCGACCGGTTAATAACGTGGCCGACAGTCCCATCAGTTGAGAGGAAACTAGGCGAAGACGAAGGACGTATTGATTTGGTCTAAGCAGTTGTCCAAAAGTAAATTCAAAAACTTGCCTGCTTTTTACATGACAGCAGTAACTCGATTTCCTTACATTTCAAACTCAATCGATCCTCCCTATAATATAGATTATCGAGTATTTTTCTTTGGTCAGCACAGCAAACATCGGTTTGGGAGTGGTGGCAAACGGCATTGGTGTCAGTGCTTTCCTTAAATGAAACTAAAAAATGAAGCAAACAAAACTACGCATGGATTATCATCGTCAGTTGCAAAAGGTGCCTTCAAGGAACTCCGACCAATTGTTGTACTATCAGAATGCCTTATAGGGCATTCACATACTGAAGAGCGTTCGGAATACACGGAAGGCGAGTTTCTGCGTTCGTGAGCTCCACGAAGATTGAGTTTGGGAACACTATTTTTGTTTTTATAATTAACGAAAAAGACAGTGGCTTACAGCTCCTGGTGGCCAACAGCCAAATCGGAAGAACGACCAGAACGCATGTGATGACCTTGGCACTAGGCGCCCGGGTGATAAAGTAAACAAGAAGAAAGTATTTACATTATACAGCATTATTTACAATTTTCAGTCAATGGAGGGGCTACAGCGAAAATAATACATACTGTGTTTTACTGTGCAAATGACCTAAACTATAGCAATCTTAGAGTCTATAACCCCGCCTACTTCAAATCAACACACAATTCCAATGTCAAGTCTCAAATTTGAAGATAAACGAGTCCAGTTTATCGCAAGCTATGTCCTCAGTTCACTTAAAGCCAAAGAAGATAAATGGATAAAACTCTGGGATAATGAGACACTGAAAAACACAGTCAATGAATTCATAGAAAAACCTGAACCAAGGAAGATTTTCTTTAGTCTAAGTCAGGCCGGCATTTTGCTGGTGCAAGCGGAGTGTTTCAATAACTTAAAAACAAA